TCCGAAGGCACTGTTACATGCTACAATAGGAATGCAATTTAAACTGAAGCTATAAGGAACACTTGTAGTTGTTTCCAATAGTACTCTAATTGTTTCCAGCAGGCCTCACAGTTTACTTGTAGCGAGATGGGGTGGCAACTCTTGAAACTTGGTCTATTACATAGCGACCTCTTCTGGTTAGATGACGCCCAAGTATTTAATTCACTTGTACAGTAGCCTATATGGCGCAGCACTCCCAGGCCCTTGCACCCTCTGCAGTCCCAGGCCCTTGCACCCTCTGCAGTCCCAGGCCCTTGCACCCTCAGCAGTCCCAGGCCCTTGCACCCTCTGCAGAGCCACGCCATTTATGGTGCACAGAGTGCTAGCCTCACGTGTAACTTTGCCTGAGACCCGGAAAAGACCCAGACTGTTGACTCAAGACCAGGTGGTAGCCTACACACGGTTGCCTTTGAATTTTGACGACCAGGGTTAGATACCAAACGTGTTAAAATAATATTAAATATTATTGTAGACTATTCATAAGAATGGATATTTGCAAGGCAATAGGGTAATTTCACATTCCTTAGTATAGCCTAGTTGTGTGCAATAGTCCACAATAGTCCATAACCTGATCTTTAGGCCTATGTCTTAATTCTTTAAAGTAAATAAAGCGTGCCTATCCTGAAACGTGTTGCTGGAATATTAAACTAGCAATAAGATCCTCTAGTCTAACATTCTGACACCTGAGTGCAAGTAACAGATTGGGATCACTTTGCAATTAAGTAGCGTTTGAAACATGTCTTGTTAATGAGGTGGTCATACGACGAGCTCTGACAGTTTATCTGTAAAGATCCTCAGTACTTCTCGGTATAGGCTACCTCACCTATGCCGCGCGGTTCACTGTCCCACTATCTGAAATTATATGGGGGGGGGGTTTTTTTTTTTCTCAAGCGCGCCCACGAATACGCGTTCACGTTTGGCAGCTCCACGTCGACATTCTTCCAGCTGCAGACTGAACTGCACAGGACTGAACGAATGAGAGGTAAAGGCGACGTGAAGGCACCGATACGAAAACTATATGGAGGCTCCAAAGAGGCACGTCAACCGCGAAATTAGGAAGTGAAATTAGGAAACTCCTATTTGCTTTTTTTTGTTTGACCTGCAACCATTTTAAATAGCCCACTAGTTTTTTGCATTTTATTATCGGTTTGCCCTCGTGCTTGATTGCAGCTGTTCCCCTTTAAGAGCTCTCACTTCTACCAGGTACTGTATGATCAGTTGCATTTATTTTGTTTCGCATTCTAGTTTTCTCACATTTAGAATATGAAGCTATGTTATGGCATTTCACAGCTGCTAATCGAATTCCAACATCTTTTAATTCACTGTTTGATTTTTGTACTTTTAACTCGATGACAATAAGCAACTCTCCAAACTGTACTGAATGTACATGTATTTGTTACCGTAATCAGAAATTGAATATGTGGAATATTTGCCTTGTTTTATAGGTAGACCATTTATTCTATATTATTGTCATTGTAAAATGCAGTCTGTGTCTTGTGAAAAACTCGACAAGTAGGCTAAACAGTATAGTGAACGTGGGTGTCTTACCCCTGCAGTGAACTATTCAGCATAAAGAAATTCATGATTTCAAAAAGTAGAATCTTTAGACACGTCATCTGTTCCACATACGAAGTGCCCTAATTGTTGCTACCATGAAGATAATCAAGGTTGAACTGCAAAGTAAACACTTATGAAAGAAAAGTGATCTTGCCTTTTACTGTGTGATATTGTATGATTTCATCATTTGTGTGGTTGGGGGGGGCAAGAGTGTGAGAATCAATCCAAGTTTCCAACAGCAGACTTTCTTATCACTCCTCTCTGTGTTGTCTTAATAGGCCCAAATAATTAGTTATTCTAAGTTCCACGTAATACACTTTTGTAAAGCACTCAGCTGTGCTTGATTCAGTTTAATCTCAAATCATGGTGGATTTAACTTAGGTTAGGTTTCAATATTGTGTTCAGAGAGTCAGCTCAACCTCATAATTATATATTTCCCCACACTACAGTGTGTTAAATCAAAGTGTTTATCAACCATAGCACATCAATAGGGAACTTATCATTTCACTCTCTTGTTATATGTTGCAGGTGAAGGAGGGGTGTGAAAGGGGTTGGCTCTGTGGCTGTCCAAGTAAAGTTCTGTGATACACTTTGACTCTAATTGTTTGCAGTCAGTGCATTACAGAACTTTATTTGGGGAGTTAAATGCTCTGGCCTGAGGGAAATAAACCTACCATCTGCAGAGTGGGCCCATTATTCCACAACATGCCACTTGCAGACTTCAATAGGGAAACTCCTTGTCACTTTTTTAAGTTTTTTCCAAGAATAAAGAAAAATTTTTATTTTGTTAATGACTTGCCGCATGAGTTTTCGCCTACTTGTGAAAGTATTTATTTCCTTATAATTAAAGACTCGCTTGGTATGTTGGTATCAGAGTGAAATGTCTGAATTATGACTGAAAAATGGAGTAGCAGAACGCCGTAGTAGACTGTTGCATCACTTCCTATAGGATGACCCAGCGAAGCCATATCAGTCTCCAGTCATCCCTCACGTTCACTTTGTCATGTGACTCAGGAAGGTGAGACAAAGTTAAACAAGTGCAGTTGAAATGTTCAAACCTTTTTTTTCCCACTGACCTGGGTCATGAAATGTAGTGGTCCTACCACATCATATTAATTAACCTTATCAAACCCATAAACATTAATCAATGTCACAATTAAGGTTTTTTTTTAAGAGTGATTTTTCTGTTGTGTATTTACATTTTATCCTGTGTCGTTCATTGTTGGGAGTGTTGTAAATATAATCAAATAAACTATTTCAGAGATGTGGTCCTCTGTAGCTCAGCTGGTAGAGCACGGCGCTTGTAACGCCAAGGTAGTGGGTTTGATCCCCGGGACCACCCATACACAAAAAAATGTATGCACGCATGACTGTAAGTCGCTTTGGATAAAAGCGTCTGCTAAATGGCAAATTATATTATATTTATGATGGCCAATGGGAAGTTAGGATTAAACATTGCTATTCTGCTGTGTATTGTAGGCTGTCTGTCCAAGCAGTATGAATCAACGGTTCTTTCAAATCAAACTTTCAATACATAAAAATATAAAAAGGCAGATAATTAAATATAAAACTTCCTAAAAGTGCAATAACATCACTGGCTCAATAAAGGGCACATAACCTGTTAGTCTAACTTAGAGATTCTCTGGTACTTTTGTATACTTTTTAGCCAGTAGATCTGGAAGTAGTCCTCCGTAGCTCAATTGGTAGAACATGGCGATTGTAACGCCAGGGTAGTGGGTTCGATCCCCGGGACCACTCTTACGTAAAAATGTATACGCACATGACTGTAAGTCGCTTTGGATAAAAGCGTCTGCTAAATGGCATATTATTATTATTATATTCTAAGTAGCGCTCACCAGCCAAACGTGGTCCCCGAAAATTGCGTACGTCGTCACGTGCAGATATGTGCACCACGTCATTGCTCTCTCTCTCTCGCTCTGCTGTGTGTGGATCTTGCTAGCTGTCACTCAAATGGCGAGGGGCTGAAGCTCATTGGCTAGAGCTCGTATTGCTAAGGGGCTGGCCCACATGGGGAAAAATGTCAGGGAAAAGGCACAGCACAGCTCCCAGAAAAACAGTCACTTTCAAACTAGGGATTTCGTGGCTAATTGAGTTAAAACAGTAATTCTGCTCATAGATTATGCATGTATGAACTACACGTTGACACATCCAGCCCAAAGCGGGAGGTTTAAAAAAAGACTTAGTAGTCACCAAAGTTCTAGACCAATGTATTTAAAGACACATGCACACATTTAAGCAACATTACATATTTTGGCTTCTATTAAATTAGATCACGTTCTAATAATAAAATCAATTATTTCACTGTGTTTAAAAAAACAAAACAAAATTATTTGAGTTCTCCCAAAGACCAGTTCATTCATCATGGTCTAATATTTAGAGAGCTTCTGTGATAGGCTTAAGTAATCAGTAGGCTACCTGTCCATGGATCAGAGGAAAAGGCAGTCACCAGCACAGTGAAAGAAGAGTTGCGTTGATGCATGATGAGAATGCCACACTTATAAAATCTGGAATTTCTTTCTCTTGCCATTTTTCCTGAAAGGATGACCTTAGAACTATGGGCATCAAGTTTCCATTAACTAAAGGCCCGCTCTCAAATTCATATGAACGCAACTGACAGTCCAAATCAACATGCTTGTTTTAAGCTAGTCCTATACTACAATACTTGTTATGGAGTGATGATAAGGGAAAACAGTAAAAAGCTCATTGATTTATATTATTCAAGAATCAATATAATTTTTGGAATGACCATTGAACAGCAGTAAATCACACATTGTGCCTTTAAAAAAAATATTTCTGATATAAGCTATTCCACATTGACTGTAGCTCTAAATCAGGGATCATCAACTAGCTTCAGCCGCGGGACGATTTTCTCTTGAGCGGATGGTCAGGGGGCCGGAACATTACTGCAAATAATTTGACTGCAAATTGACCGCAAGAATCCCAAACAGATATAATATTTGACTAAAATAAAATAATTTCAAATCTTGCTTACATTTGTATACAATCACCTGTCTCTCTATTATGCGTGGGAATACTTGGGAACAGATTTCTTAAATTAAAATCACTTGGAGCTGATCTCCAGTTGTTTTTACAGTATTTTATGTACAACAATAAAACATTATTATTATTTTTTTTCAGAACATTTGTGGGGCCAAATAAAACCACCCGCGGGCCAAATTCGGTCCGCGCTCCGCCAGTTGGGGAACCGTGCTCTATGGACTACCATCAATTAAATTAAAGTCACAGCAAAGATAGGCGATAATGTAACCAATCTGTATTGAAAGCACAAATTAAATGCAAAGCGTGATGGGATTCGTTTGCAGTTTAGCTCATATCATACTATCGCTGTACTGACCTCTTGACTTTCCTTCCACAAACACAGTATGGCGTCAAACAGCAATAGCTCCGAGGGACAACGAATGGCACAGCAAAGATTAAGGATAATTGCAGGGCATTTACAGAAACATGAGGACGGTGACTCTGGAATTATTGCAAAAGAATGCAAAGCTGAAGCGACCGGTTCAACTGAAGAGAATAAAGGGACGGTGCCGAGAAAGAGGCAGTTAAGATGGGCCCTCATCCAGTGGACGAATGAGGGCTATCCTGACATGCTATCTGCTAGCTAAAAGTGATTGTCATAAAGTATGAAATAGCTGTCGTGCATTTTCTTGTAATTAAAACACATAATTGGGGTCTTTTACAAATGGAGATGACCTCCTCTGCATATCATTATTTAGACATCTCTGCTTCAATTAAGCTAGCTAATGAAATTAGCCAGCAGAATGTGCGGTAGTGGTTCTTAAACAAAGTGTTCATTCATCGAAGTGGGTGCGGCGGGATTGTATTCTGTGTCCTATCAAAGTCTTTTTCATCGTAGTTAGCTAGATTACTTAGCTAGAATGTGTTTCAGTAATGTTTGATCTGTCACCCTTAGTTGAAGTTGAAGTTCAGGTCAATCCTACGCTAGGACTGTACCATTTTGTCATAGCTTGCCAGCGTTATATGACCCACACTAGCCGACTAAACTCCTAGATTTACGATGGAGTTGAGCGGCGGCTGGTGTGGGCTGACTGGAGCTCCGACGCCACATAAAATGATATATTTTTTTTATATAAAAAAAACCTGACTGATTTCAGCACCCAAAGAATAGACCGGAATTACACACAAGTTCTGTCTAATTGTGGACTATTCTTTGGGTGCTGAAATCAGTAGGTTTTTGATAAAAACATCATTTTATCTGACCTCGGAGCTCCAAGTCCGTCCCGTCACCACTAGTTGCGGTTCAACTCCATCGTAAATCTAGGAGTTGAGTTTAATCGGCTAGACCCACACTAGCCGCTGGTGACAGTGGGCAGCTGACGTAAATGTAACACCAACATCTCTTAACTATTTCAAGGGAGCCTGTTCCATTATACAGTTATATTGTATGTAAAGGTATAGCTTGATAAACTACTGGTGACGTTTTGAATGCTGACAATATTCTGAACGACGACTAGGGAAATCTCCGCTGTTGGAGTGACATGAACAGAATAAACTAGCTAGCGACAGTCTTGAATAGAAGGGATCATTACGACGGTCATATTTTTTTTATATTCTTCATGATATAATCATATAATATCACATTTTATCTAGAGGTGAATGTTTTTCCAGATTTTAGTTGTGGACACACCTATTGTCTATTTCATAACAATAGAAATCAGAAACGGGATCAAGTTGAGCGGTTAACCTAAACTTGGATCTGATTGGCCAAGACCTGTGGGTGGTCTGACAAATTGGCTGTTCAGCTTTCACAAACATGTTGTAGTGACATAAAAAAAAAAAAAATATGTGACTGTTTTACAGGGTCAGCAATAGTATTATGGTGCCCCTGGAGCAAATTAGGGTTAAGTGCCTTGCTCAAGGGCACATCGACAGAATTGTCACCTTATCTGCCCGGTTATTCGAACCAGCGACCTTTCATTTACTGGCCCAACGCTCTAAATGCTAGGCCACCTGCCACCCTGTGACATCCAGTGTCAGACATGCCTTAGAGCACACTTCCATATTTGCATTTCATAGAGGCTGTATTGTAGGACCCACTCAACCATGTAACACTGTGCAATAGGGCCATTATCATGCATTGTTCTGATCAACTTGGGGGCTGCAGGTAGCTTAGTGGGTAAGAGCGTTGTGCCAGTAACCGAAAGGTCGCTGGTTCTAATCCCCGAGCCGACTAGGCGAAAAATCTGTCGATGTGCCCTTAAGCAAGGCACTTAACCCTAATTGCTCCTGTAAGTCGCTCTGGATAAGAGCGTCTGCTAAATGACTAAAATGTAAAAATGTAATGTAACTTGACATGGCCCGTGTGAGGAAATGTTACCATTGTTCTACCACAAGAATGTAAATGATTTGTTTTGCGTTATGTATGAATGTTCATTGTGCAGTTGGGAAATGTTCGATATTGTTATAGAATGTTTTTTTTTGTGAAGCAGAGAAGTGCTGAGGCTTATTTCAGATCAACCCTACCTATCAGCTAGGCTATGGGCATCGGTATCAGTGATGCTGAGACTCAGATTTTTCCTAGCACATGTCAGAACTAGGTTACTGGTCTGATCACTGGGGGTGTAGGAATGTTGCACGTGTCAGAACTAGGTTACTGGTCTGATCACTGGGGGTGTAGGAATGTTGCACGTGTCAGAACTAGGTTACTGGTCTGATCACTGGGGGTGTAGGAATGTTGCACGTGTCAGAACTAGGTTGACTGGTCTGATCAACTGGGGGTGGTAGGAATGTTGCAACGTGTCAGAGAAACTAGGTTTTTACTGGTCTGTATCACTGGGGGTGTAGGAATGTTGAACGTGTCAGAAACTTAGGCTACTGGTCGGTCTGGATCTACTGGGGGTGTAGGAATGTTGCACATGTGACAGGAGATCACATAGGGTTGTGTCATGGTCCATTGTGATACCAGGCTGTCATAGATTAGCATTGAGAGAATATCTCTCTCATATACCAGGCTCCTCATAAATTCCACTGCCTGGTGTTTGGCAGGCATTCATCATGGTTTAACTCCACCACGTGTACCAACTTGAGTTATGGGTCCCTTAGGAGTAGTAGTGGCCTTCTTTCCTATGATGACATGCTGTAGTGGCCTGTTTCCTCTGACTGTCGGCTGTAGTGGATGTTTCCTCGGACTCATGACTGCTGTAGTGGACTGTGCCTCTGACTGACTGATGTGTGGCTATTCCTTGACTGACTGCTGTAGTGGGCCTCTGACTGACTGCTGTGTGGCCTGTTTCCTCTGACTGTCTGCTGTAGTGGCCTGTTTCCTCTGACTGTCTGCTGTAGTGGCCTGTTTCCTCTGACTGACTGCTGTAGTGGCCTGTTTCCTCTGACTGACTGCTGTAGTGGCCTATTTCCTCTGACTGACTGCTGTAGTGGCCTGTTTCCTCTGACTGTCTGCTGTAGTGGCCTGTTTCCTCTGACTGACTGCTGTAGTGGCCTGTTTCCTCTGACTGACTGCTGTAGTGGCCTGTTTCCTCTGACTGTCTGCTGTAGTGGCCTATTTCCTCTGACTGTCTGCTGTAGTGGCCTATTTCCTCTGACTGACTGCTGTAGTGGCCTATTTCCTCTGACTGTCTGCTGTAGTGGCCTATTTCCTCTGACTGTCTGCTGTAGTGGCCTATTTCCTCTGACTGTCTGCTGTAGTGGCCTATTTCCTCTGACTGTCTGCTGTAGTGGCCTATTTCCTCTGACTGTCTGCTGTAGTGGCCTATTTCCTCTGACTGACTGCTGTAGTGGCCTATTTCCTCTGACTGTCTGCTGTAGTGGCCTATTTCCTCTGACTGACTGCTGTAGTGGCCTATTTCCTCTGACTGACTGTCTGCTGTAGTGGCCTATTTCCTCTGACTGTCTGCTGTAGTGGCCTATTTCCTCTGACTGACTGTCTGCTGTAGTGGCCTATTTCCTCTGACTGACTGTCTTCTGTAGTGGCCTATTTCCTCTGACTGACTGTCTGATGTAGTGGCCTATTTCCTCTGACTGACTGTCTGCTGTAGTGGCCTATTTCCTCTGACTGACTGTCTGCTCTAGTGGCCTATTTCCTCTGACTGACTGTCTGCTGTAGTGGCCTATTTCCTCTGACTGTCTGCTGTAGTGGCCTATTTCCTCTGACTGACTGTCTGCTGTAGTGGCCTATTTCCTCTGACTGACTGCTGTAGTGGCCTATTTCCTCTGACTGACTGTCTGCTGTAGTGGCCTATTTCCTCTGACTGACTGTCTGCTGTAGTGGCCTATTTCCTCTGACTGTCTGCTGTAGTGGCCTATTTCCTCTGACTGACTGTCTGCTGTAGTGGCCTATTTCCTCTGACTGACTGTCTTCTGTAGTGGCCTATTTCCTCTGACTGTCTGCTGTAGTGGCCTATTTCCTCTGACTGTCTGCTGTAGTGGCCTATTTCCTCTGACTGACTGTCTGCTGTAGTGGCCTATTTCCTCTGACTGTCTGCTGTAGTGGCCTATTTCCTCTGACTGACTGTCTGCTGTAGTGGCCTATTTCCTCTGACTGACTGTCTGCTGTAGTGGCCTATTTCCTCTGACTGACTGTCTTCTGTAGTGGCCTATTTCCTCTGACTGTCTGCTGTAGTGGCCTATTTCCTCTGACTGACTGTCTGCTGTAGTGGCCTATTTCCTCTGACTGACTGTCTGCTGTAGTGGCCTATTTCCTCTGACTGACTGTCTGCTGTAGTGGCCTATTTCCTCTGACTGACTGTCTGCTGTAGTGGCCTATTTCCTCTGACTGACTGTCTGCTGTAGTGGCCTATTTCCTTTGACTGACTGTCTTCCGAGGAATTTGTGAAAAGCATTCCCTTGGGATGAGCATAGTGATTTAACACATGTTTAATTATTCAGTAGATATATTGAGATACTCAAATTCTGCCTGACATTTGAGTTCAGTGTTCAAACTTGTTTCTTGTATCCTCTAACCTGATTTAGCATAAGGCTAAGCCTACAATGTTATTTCTTTGGAACGTTGTTTTAGGAGGATACCCTACTTTCGTTGGGCACACCTTCTTTTCTAACGCTCATCTATGGTATTCATCATGATGCTCCCCCTTGGAGTGTCATTGTGGAAGGGAATGAGATCTAAGCCACTCCCTGTCTGATGACTGCTGTTGTGGTCCTCAGTAGCTCAATTGGTAGAGCATGGAGCTTGTAACGCCAGGGTAGTGGGTTCGATCCCCGGGACCACCCATACGTAAAAATGTATGCACACATGACTGTAAATCGCTTTGGATAAAAGCGTCTGCTAAATGGCATATTATATTATATTATTATTATATTTTGATGGTGTAACAGGTTTTCTTGTTACTGTGCCAACAGGCTTTTGTAGTTGGCTGCTTGTAGTCCACAGGGGAACGACCACCTCTCAGGGACAAGGCCTAGGTTGACTGGCGCCTCCTATACTGCCAATACACTAACTGATAGTCATGATGTGGAAAGCCCATTGAATAACTGATAGCCATGATGTGGAAAGCCCATTGAATAACTGATAGCCATGATGTGGAAAGCCCATTGAATAACTGATAGCCATGATGTGGAAAGCCCATTGAATAACTGATAGCCATGATGTGGAAAGCCCATTGAATAACTGATAGTAAAACAAGGGAACTACAACACATTCCCCATTGCAAATAGACCACTAATCCAAATACTAGCCTATTCTGCAACAGGAGGTCAAGTATGAGGGTGCAAGTCCGTGGTCTTTTAAAAGTGCTTCCTTGTATTGTCTTGCTCCCTTGAGGTTTGACTTGTGTCCTCTCTCAGACAGCGTTATAACAGTATTGGCTTCTACTACTGTAACGTACTAACCAACTGTTTGTTGTTCTCCCAGGCAGGAGATTATGAAGTGGAATGGCTGGGGGTACAGCGACTCCAAATTCCTCTTTAACAAGAAGGGTCAAGCAGAGTTTACGGGCAAAAGGTACAGTACACTGTCTCGACATTTTCAACCGTTTTACTCTCATGAAGAAAATGTATATTGTCTATGACGATCTGTAGGCTAAATAATTTATTCACATTTATTGATAGAATTCTCAATCTGGATTGTTCACTCCTTTGCACAGGCTGCCGCCTAACACTCGTTCCGACATTTCTTGATTTCTTGTTTTTTATGTATTTAAATAGTTGATTATTTATGTACTTGTTTGACATTATACTGCATTGTTAGGAGCTAGTAACATAAGCATTTCACTGCACCCTCTATAACATCTGCTAAACTGTGTATGCCAGGGTTTCCCAAACTCTGTCCTGGGGCCCTCCATGGGTGCATTTTTTGGTTTCTGCCCGAGCACTACACAGCTGATTTAAATAACCAACTCATCATCAAGCTTTGATTATTTGAATCAGCTGTGTAGTGCTAGGCCAAAACACTAAAGGGCCAGGAGCGAGTTTGGGAAATCCTGGTGTGCGTGATCAATAAACTTTTGATTTGAAAACCTCCCGCTCCTCTCCAGCCTCATTCAGAGTGGGGTGCTAGTGCCATCTAGTGGCTGGTATCTGTACTCTGCTAATCTTGCCTTGAGTTAGTCCCAGACATCAAGTCAATGAGTGGGATTATCAGCTGTTTGAAACTCCCCTTATTGCCTTTCATGCAAATGTTTCTTCTTACCATGGGTGCTTTTGTTTTGTTTATGCTAACAGTTGTCATGGGATCATATGTTGAGTGCTGATGTAGGAAATGATTAATTTTAATCTCTGTGCGTTTTTAAAGAAGCCTAACCTATTGTCTCTCTACTGTCTGATAACTGAGCATGACTTCAACCCACACTGACTTCAATCCACACTATTGCCTCTCCACTTTCTCTGATAACTGAGCATGACTCCAAGCCACACTGGCAGCAGAATGGATTGCTCTTTTCATTGGCACACCTTCATCTTCTGTTTTACACCTTTTATCTTTGTCTTGCGTGATGGAGGCAGAGAAGGTGATGTATGCTTAAAGAACAGAAAGCCTGTCAGACTTAAAGCTAATAGATGTGGTAGACTATGCTGCGTGTATATCTGTTTGAGTAATGGGGAGGGTTGTACGGGATGCTGACCAGCAAATGGTTCCTCTGTTATTCTTTACTAGAAGTTCTATCAACTAATAATAATAATAATATGCCATTTAGCAGACGCTTTTATCCAAAGCGATTTACAGTCATGTGTGCATAAATCTTTGTGTATGGGTGGTCCCGGGGATCGAACCCACTACCCTGGCGTTACAAGCGCCGTGCTCTACCAGCTGAGCTACAGAGGACCACAACTACATCTTACTATTCTGTGCTGTCTCTGCGTGGCTTGAGAGATGGAAGAAATGAAAGTGAATGAGATTTCATTAAGGAGTGTGTTTAATGGTCTGCTGGACAAAGGCAGACTACAGTCCCCTGATGTGCTGGCGGCGGTTCAATTATATAGCGTCTGGCCTGGGCTGGCGTTCGACGGGGACAGCGCGGTCACTGGGCTCGCCTTATAACCTCCATTTAAGCTCAAACAACCACACACTGACTCCATACCAATGACAGACAGTATGTATTTCAGCAGTTCCTAGCAGAACACCGAGGTCAGAGGGGATGTGTTTTATGAATTGGGTCAGAAGTCCTTAGCTTTTCTTCTAATCCTGTGTTCCGGTTCATTCCAGGTGTAGGCTAAGTGGGAAGACCCTGCCCGGTTTGCAGGACTGGTTTGAGAACACCTATTGGAGACAGTGTGAAGCATAAAAGCCCTGCAACTGTAAGTGTAGTTTGGTTTCAACCCTCATGTCTCCTGTTGGTGTGAATTCTAATGACGGCAGCAGCCAGTTAATGGCTCCTCCTCCCCCCTCCCCTCTCCCCCTCCTCCCCCTCCCCTTCCAACTCCCCCTCTTACCCCCTCCTCCTCCTCCTCCTCCCATGTCTTTGTTCCAGCCTGTCCTGAATGCCAGCGCTGTGCCACCGCCCAGTCTGAACGAGGCGTTCGTAGAGGACCTGAATGCCACAGGCATCCCATTCTCCAATGAGGCAGACGACAGGGTGTTCCGTGCCCACGGTGAGGCATGCTGGGAAGGCTCTGGTCCTCCAGGGGGCTGGGAGTAGTCTCATACGGACACCGTGTGAAAGTTGATCATGAGGACGTCTCTATTTTTACACGTGCGATACACAGGAACACAGCAGCATGAACTAGAGTAAAGTCATTTAATGATGAACATCACACTAATTATACTGATCATACAATTATAATTGCTTTTGTCGTAGTATATTTAACGTTGTTCTTATGTTAACAGGTCATTGCTTACATGAAATCTTTGCTCTCAGAGAGGGGAAGAAATTTGAGCGTGTTCCAGATGTGGTGGTGTGGCCAAGTGAGTTTTACATCGCAACTATTTTTAATGGCCCAGGTTTCCCCCCCCCTCCCTTCATTGCATTGGTTTGCTTCTCATCATCCTGGCTCAGGTGATTTAAAGGGCTAATCTCTGCCGAGGCGTAGGGATATTGATATGTATGAGCGGTGGCTTAATAAGAAGCGTCAGCGGGAGGGCGTTTGACACCCAATACACCAGGCCCAGCAGAGTATAGTCATGAATCATGGCAGGCACCATTTTATCATGCAAATTTGTGTTGACTGATGGCTGGAATATGATTAGCAGACTCCGTGCCAGTGTTTATTCCCTTCACCGTGAGTACTCTTGTTATCGACGTAACACTAATTTATAGCTCTGTGTTATATAATGACATGGGATAAAATGTTGTTATGTATCCTTTGCCTCCGCAGACCGCCACAACGATGTGGTGAAACTTGTGGAGCTGGCATGCAAGCACAATGTTTGTTTGATACCGTACGGCGGTCAGTATTTTACTGCTGCAAACCCAACAGTACAATATATTTTCCAAACTTTAAAACATATTTTAGACTAGAATGGTATGCCCTGTCTTGACCATGTGGCCTGACCAGGGAAAGGGTTGGTTATAGCCTAGTGCTAGGGCCCAGAGTTTCCCCCTGGTCAGAGTTTTCCCCTAACCCTAACCCCTCCAGTCTCCTGTCCTCCTTCCAGGAGGGACCAGTGTGACCAGTGCCCTAGAGCGGTCGGTCAGCACGGAGGATGCTCTCAACAGGAAAGGTAGCGGTCGGTTAGCACGGAGGATGCTCTCAACAGGAAAGGTAGCGGTCGGTTAGCACGGAGGATGCCCTCAACAGGAAAGGTAGCGGTCGGTCAGCACAGAGGATGCTCCTATATCCACATCAAAGCTTATTCAGATGTCTAGCTGTGACTCTCTCTCTCTCATTATCTTACTTCGGGAGAATCCTGTAGCATAAATTTGCTAAACTTTTCTCAGAGAAAATACTGTGAGGGAAGGAAACCCAATAGGAAACAGCATTTAGTAGCAGTACAGTATCACAGAGCTGTTGGACAGCTGCCTGCCTAGGGGATATATTGGCTAGTCCAGCAATCACTGAGGAGGTGACGTAAATACCAGTGACCAGTGCGCTGGGTCAAGGGTCACAGGGCATAGCGGGTCTGAGGGAGTCACATGAAAGACTGTGTATGACCACTTTATTACCTCTGGAGAATGAATGATGGCTCCGTGGGAGCTCAAGCTGGGCCGGGGGGGCCGGGGGGGGGGGGGGGGACTGGAGAGGTTAGCCTTTTGGAATCTATCTGACTAACACTGTGTCCTCCCCACGGCCCAGTCCTCTAGTAACGACAGCCACATGTTTGTAGCTCACTGGAGGGAACAAGTGCTACTGAAATACCCCCCACCCCACCCCACACAGCCACATCTTCAACAAACAACACGAGCTTGGCTGTTATTACCTTTCTCGTTTGGTAGATATTCTGGTCACCACAGCATCTGGTTTCTTTCTCACAGTCGTTATAAAATGCTGCACACTGACCTTTTTTGAGCTCTAGAAGTAAGACCTCAACAACTGGAATGTATTTGAAGGCTGTAATTCAATGAGTGAAGGCGGTTTTCGAGTGCAGCCATGGGGATATGCTGTCAACACTACTGTATTCATTAAAATCCTCTCCCTCTAACCTGCATCGGATGTATCGGACACAGCCTGCTTTTCATCTGGGCTAAACTCATAAGGCATTGAACACTATTTTAATTTGTTTGTCCTAGTGGTATAAACAATGGAAGCAGTGAAATGTTATGACCTCATGAGTTTTTTTATCTGCAGAACCGCATTATTGTGGACTGACGAGAAGTATTTAGTCGCCCACGTTGAAGCTGGCATCATCGGTCAGGATTTGGAGAGATTAGTAAGTGCCTTGCCTTCATAATTACTAAAGCCATTTCATACTGAATGATCTCCCATGAAAGGGCTCATGTTATTAAGATGGGGCAAGTATACGCTTTCATCTACAGGATCTTTCACCTGTAGCCAGCCTTGCCTTTCCACCCTGGCTTAGTGGTTTACAGGGAGTGCAGAGCTCCCATGCTAGGCAGGTCTGAATAGGAGAAGGGGTAACTACGTTGGAGCTTGAGGCTCGGGCGATGAGCAGATGGCACCATTAAGCTAATTCAGAAAAATTGAGAAGGAGCCAGTGTTTGTTGTGGAGGAACGCGTGCTCTGCGTCTCAAGCAGGCTCCACCTTTGCCTATAGAGAAGGGCCATTTTGATGGAGCAGATGGCTCTGCATTAAAAACTGCCTGTCGGGGTGAGCTGTGCCATGAACGCACGGCCTGACTCTCCTCACGTCACCTGGAAGAGGGGAGCCATTAGAGTAGAACCTGCCTGCCTGCTGCTGACCAGGGGCCCGGCACGGAGACCAGGGGCCCAGCACGGAGACCAGGGGCCCAGCACGGAGACCCAGGGGCCCAGCACGGAGACCAGGGGCCCAGCACGGAGACCCAGGGGCCCAGCACGGAGACCAGGGGCCCAGCACGGAGACCCAGGGGCCCAGCACGGAGACCCAGGGGCCCAGCACGGAGACCAGGGGCCCAGCACGGAGACCAGGGGCCCGGCACGGAGACCAGGGGCCCGGCACGGAGACCCAGGGGCCCAGCACGGAGACCAGGGGCCCAGCACGGAGACCAGGGGCCCAGCACGGAGACCAGGGGCCCGGCACGGAGACCAGGGGCCCGGCACGGAGACCAGGGGCCCGGCACGGAGACCAGGGGCCCAGCACGGAGACCAGGGGCCCGGCACGGAGACCAGGGGCCCGGCACGGAGACCCAGGGGCCCAGCACGGAGACCCAGGGGCCCAGCACGGAGACCAGGGGCCCAGCACGGAGACCAGGGGCCCGGCACGGAGACCAGGACTGAGTTTGGGAAAAACCCGTAGGTCTAAACTCAGCTCCTACGAATACTGATGAGTGTTTCTTTGTCACTCTCCCTCTCCCCAGCTCAACGAGAGTGGCTACTGTACGGGGCATGAGCCAGACTCCACAGAGTTCAGCTCCCTGAGTGGCTGGGTGGCCGCTAGAGCATCAGGCATGAAGAAGAACCTATATGGTAACATCGAGGACCTGGTATGTTCCCTCTCTCTGACTAACTGATCTTACTAGGCGACTGTAAATGGGCAAACGGTTGTAACGTGAAGTTGCATGTGCGGCTATCCAAACACACTTGCGTCATGCTAACGTATGGGAACCATGCTATTTGGTTTTCCTGTGACCAAGAGGCCTGCTTGTTTTGGTTAAGCTCTGCCAATGATTGACAGAATGTAGCCTTGAATATGAACTCAGCAACCGAGGTACCGCTTGTTTTAACCTGGATATTTCACTCCTCTCTGCTGCGATTTTAAAGTCAAGCTAAGTGACTTGAGCTGCCATCTTGTTTGTCCTATATCCAGGTGATTCACATAAAGGCGGTGACCCCTCGAGGGGTGATGGAGAAGAGCTACCAGGGGGCCGCGCATGTCCACTGGGCCAGACATCCACCACTTTATCCTGGGCTCAGAAGGTAAGACTCACCTCCCCACTCCTCCCAGGGATCATGACTTCAACATGATAAAAGTTGACCCTATGTGCAGTGTGTATATAATGTAATGGGATAACCAGTCAGGTGAACGTTTATCCAGGGTGGGAGAAGAGATCCAGTTATGGGGGGGAAGGGTATTGGTTTTGGGCCTCTGTGCATCATGCCTACCTTTGAGAGATCCAGTTATGGGGGGATGGGTATTGGTTTTGGGCCTCTGTGCATCATGCCTACCTTTGAGAGATCCAGTTATGGGGGGATGGGTATTGGTTTTGGGCCTCTGTGCATCACGCTTACCTTTTGAGAGATCCAGTTATGGGTGGAGGGGTATTGGTTTTGGGCCTCTGTGCATCATGCCTACCTTTGCCCCCACCCCTTGTGACTCCTGGCACTGCAGCTGTGGATACATGCCCCTAACAAAGCACTGCAAGCTGTTTACTGACTATACACTGGGAGCCGGGCAGAGATCTCCATCTGGACTCATTACAATGTATACTTAACACACATCTGCAAATGAAAACCCAACTAGATGTATTTAATTTAGTCCTATCATCTCTTTTTAAATTATCTTCAGTTCAGGGACAAAAATAGTTTGAAATAAAGTGGAGAATGGGGTGGCTCAGATGGCCTACTTCCTGTGCAGAGTAGTTGTTCCTCAGTGAAATGGTACCAGGCTTGAGTTTTGGTTCTATTTGAGCCTGGTGGCTACTGTGAAGCCAGACCCTGTTGGGTAGGAGAGGAGACAGGACCTCCTAGTCCCCGGTCTGTCACTGTGTGGGCTCCTGGCTCGGTGGCCAGCTCTGCTGCTGGAGCTGAGCGACAGAGAGGGGTCATACCTCTGCTTGGTCTCATTACGATATCTCCCCCTGCACAGGCATCCCACACACTGACAGACACTAGGCCACAACAACAGAACCTAGCACTGGAACCCAAACACTGCTCTGCATGTTAACCAGCCAGGCATACTATAAATCCTCTTCTCAGTCAACACACAGTATCCCTCCTCTTCCTAGTCCCTGACCTTGGAGTGGCCTGAATACCAAAGTAGTTCCCTCCACCCTTCTCTAAGCAGTGGAATAATCAATAATAATCAGGTTTCTGTTTCAAAGGCTCTCTCAGCCATGACCAATGATATGCAGGTGTGTGAAGCTGGCCAGCACTAATCGAATGTTGTGTGGAGTTAATGCCATGTGAAACTGCCTTCTTTGATTCCCAATGAGTGGCCTCTAGTTTCAGCCACATGGCCCCCACGTCAGGCTGGTCCGGCCCCCATGTCAGGCTGGTCCGGCCCCCACGTCAGGCTGGGCTCCCCCCCCCCCCCCACGTCAGGCTGGTCCCCCCCCCCCACGTCAGGCTGGTCCCTCCCCCCACGTCAGGCTGGTCCCTCCCCCCACGTCAGGCTGGTCCCCCCCCCCCCCACGTCAGGCTGGTTCCCCCTCACGTCAGGCTGGTTCCCCCTCACGTCAGGCTGGTTCCCCCTCACGTCAGGCTGGTCCCCCCCCCCCCCCCCCCCCCCCCCACGTCAGGCTGGTTTCCCCCCCCCCCCCCCCCACGTCAGGCTGGTCCCCCTCCCCCCCACGTCAGGCTGGTTCCCCCTCACGTCAGGCTGGTCCCTCCCCCCACGTCAGCCTTCTCCCTCTCTCTGTCTCTCTGTCTCTGTGTGTGTTCTACCTCCACCATAGAAGAGGCCCAGGGTATGTGCCGAGGCGTGATGATGGAGTCTCATCAGTGTATGGCTCGACTTGACCTGACAATATGTAATTATTGTGGATATTTTCTCAAATTAGTCAACGTTCACAAACACTCATTAAGCCTTTAGGAAAACATCTGTTTTTTTTTTTAATGGAAGTCATAATCGACATGTCTGATATTAAATAAACATCACATTTTGTTTTCCTCCTATAAACTGGTGACGGAATGATGATGGCTTTGCCTCGCTGAGGTTATCACTGTTTACTGTGTGATGTCAAAAGATCATCTTTATTAGAATCCATTCCACCGTTCAGCTTTTGTAGAGACAGTTACTCCATCTATGCTCTCCATGGGAATTGTAATCAACACTAGGCTAAACAAGGATGCATTCATTTGCATAGTTTGGCCCATTAGTTTTTCCATATTGGACCAAGTGGGAGTTTTTTCTGTCTAAGAAAACAACAACAACAACAACAACAACAACAACAACAACAACAACAACAGTGCTGGGGTTGCATCTGAAAAGGCTCCCTTTGACCAGTACCCTATAGTTAAACATAGGGTAGGGAGGATTCTACCTGTCACTAAACCAAGGTGGAATATAACCCATAAAGCGGCAGACATAGTGGATACTTTGTGGAGTCAGGGGTCATGCTGGGAGCCCTGGGTGAGGTGATAAAGGTCCTTGTGTCCCGGGACTTCTTTTGATATGTACCTGCTTTTATTTCCTCAAACCCCCAGTCGATAAATCTCACTGGTCTCTTGTGGGCAACATGAAACCAGATCACGGAGGAGAAAAGTAACATATACTGTAGGTCACCACCAGTGATGTAGTGGTAAAACAATAGGTCTCCACCAGTGATGTAGTGGTAAAACAATAGGTCACCACCAGTGATGTAGTGGTAAAACAATAGGTCACCACCAGTGATGTAGTGGTAAAACAATAGGTTGTGTTAGCCTGAATTCTCACCCATCTACACACAATACCCCATAATGACAAAGTTTAAACATGTTTTAAAAATGTTTGCAAATGTATTGAAAATGAAATGTAGAAATATCTCATTTACATAAGTATTCACACCTCTGAGTCTATACATGTTAGAATCACCTTTAGCAACGATTACAGCTGTGAGTCTTTCTGGGTAAGTCTCTGAGCTTTGCACACCTGGATTGTACAATATTTGCACATTATTCTTTTGAAAATTCTTCAAGCTCTGTCAAGTTGGTTGTTGATCATTGCTAGACAGCCATTTTCCAGTCTTGCCATAGATTTCAAGCGGATTTAAGTAAAAACTGTAACTAGGCCACTCAGGAACATTCAATGTCGTCTTGTTAAGCAACTCCAGTGTATATTTGGCCTTGTGTTTTAGGTTATTGTCCTGCTGAAAGGTGAATTTGTCTCCCAGTGTCTGTTGGAAAGCAGACTGAACCAGGTTTTCCTCCAGGATTTTGCCTGTGCTTAGCTCTATTCTGTTTATTTTTATCCTAAAAAACTCTAGTCCTTGCCGATGAAAAGCATACCCATAACATGATGCAGCCACCATCATGCTTGAAAATATGAAGAGTGGTACTCAGTGATGTGTTGTGATGGATTTGCCCCAAACATAACGCTTTGTATTCGGGACATAAAGTTGATTTCTTTGCCACATTTTTTGCAGTTTTACTTTAGTGCTTTATTGCAAACAGGATGCATTTACAGGCTAACTTCTTTCACTCTGTCATTTAGGTTAGTATTGTACACTAACTACAATGTTGTTGATCCATCCTTAGTTTTCTCCTATCACAGCCATTAAACTCTGTAACTGTTTTAAAGTCACCATTGGCCTCGTGGTGAAATCCCTGAGCGGTTTCCTTCCTCTCCGGCAACTGAGTTAGGAAGGACGCCTGTATCTTTGTAGTGAATGGGTGTATTGATACACCATCCAAAGTGTAATTAATGACTTCACAATGCTCAAAGGGATATTCAATGTCATTGTAAAAAACCTCCCTGGTCTTTGTGGTTGAATCTGTGTTTGAAATTCACTGCTCGACTGAGGGACCTTACAGATAATTGTATGTGTGGGATACAGAGATGAGGTAGTCATTCAAAAATCATTTAAAATACTTACTACACACAGTGAGTCCATGCAACTTATTATGTGACTTGTTAAGTACATTTTTACTCCTGATCTTATTTAGGCTGGCCATTTAGAAAGGGATTGAATACTTATTGATATTTCAGCTTTTCATTTGTAGTTCATTTTTGAAAAACGTAATTTCACATTGACATTATGGGGTATTGTGTTTAGGCCAGTGATGAAAAATCTCTATTTAATCCATTTTAAATTCAGGCTGTAACACAACAAAATGTGGAAAAAGTCAAGGGGTGTGAATACTTTCTGAAGAGCCTGTATCTCTTTGTATAACACGGGAGCTCAGAAGTGAAGCCATACTCTGTGACTGCTCTCTGGCTCTCCACCCTGCCTGTGACTGCTCTCTGGCTCTCCACCCTGCCTGTGACTGCTCTCTGGCTCTCCACCCTGCCTGTGACTGCTCTCTGGCTCTCCACCCCTGCCTGTGACTGCTCTCTGGCTCTCCACCCTGCCTGTGACTGCTCTCTGGCTCTCCACCCTGCCTGTGACTGCTCTCTGGCTCTCCACCCTGCCTGTGACTGCTCTCTGGCTCTCCACCCTGCCTGTGACTGCTCTCTGGCTCTCCACCCTGCCTGTGACTGCTCTCTGGCTCTCCACCCTGCCTGTGACTGCTCTCTGGCTCTCCACCCTGCCTGTGACTGCTCTCTGGCTCTCCACCCTGCCTGTGACTGCTCTCTGGCTCTCCACACTGCCTGTGCTGTGGGGCTGACCTTGTTTCCATTTCTGAGTCCTTGACTCTGCCGTTCTTTTTAATTGCCATTTGGCCTGCTTTTGGAATCCATTTGAGAAAAGAACACTGCATTGGCAACGTTTCTTCATGTATGCTTTATTTTTCACCCTCAGTGCAACGCAGCAGAGTTCAATTGATCATTATTTCACCAGTGGAGTAACTAGCTGCACACACGAGTCGTGGATTGAAGCCCGATGGAAAAATGACTGTGGTAACAATTAAGCAGTTGTTTTATTGAAGTTTTACAATATTGTTTCTTGAGGTCTGGTGGAAGGAATGTGGCATTGGTGCCAGACATCTTTGTGAAGTTCTTCAGTCCCCTGGGATCTCATTACGCTCCCTATATTCCCACTTCTTAGCTTTTAAGCAGGCAAGATGAAGCTATTCGGTTTCTCACTAATAACTGAACCTCAGTCAGGACTCTATGATGGGATACCTTCTTATTAGATTAATAACTGAACCTCAGTCAGGACTCTATGATAGGGCTTATTAGTGCCTTGTCTTCCCTTTTTGAATCACCCTGTTTGCTGAGTGAAGGGATCTGGTGTAGCAGGTCTGCTGCTGAGTGAAGGGGTCTGATAGGTCTGCTGCTGAGTGAAGGGGTCTGATAGGTCTGCTGCTGAGTGAAGGGGTCTGATAGGTCTGCTGCTGAGTGAAGGGGTCTGATAGGTCTGCTGCTGAGTGAAGGGGTCTGATAGGTCTGCTGCTGAGTGAAGGGGTCTGATAGGTCTGCTGCTGAGTGAAGGGGTCTGATAGGTCTGCTGCTGAGTGAAGGGGTCTGGTGTATTTCAGAATGGGACCGGTAGTGTAAAATACAGGGCCACGTATCTCAGTACGCTAGCTAGATGAAAGATGAGAATGGCAATTAAATGAGCATTAAGAAGAGCAGGGAAACATGACCCACCGTAGGTATAATCGCCCTCTTTCTGGTCGTTGAGGATTTCATTAAAGGGTGATGGCTGCAGGACACCTAAAGACCCACAATCACAATTGGAATGGAAACAATGGGGTCAGTAAGTGATGAAGAGACTGAGACAGAGTTCAGTCTCAACAGAGTGACTCAGGACTCCATCCTGCTTCATAACCGTCCCATCAGCTCCAGTGTCCATAGGCGCTTTGTGTGTCCAATCAGGAACCAACCAAAAACGTGCGGTGGCTGAGGAAGACTGATATGGCCGTGTCAAGCCCGCTTCCCCTCGGAAAGCCGCTGATTTAATGTCCCTGTCGCAGCCAGCCTACTGGCAACATGTCAAGTTATTCACACGTTACCATAAATGTTCCTTATTTTGTTCCCAAACCCAAATAAATGTGACTGCTGCCCTGTTGGAGTCCTGGAGGAAACAGGGAGGAGATGGGTGGGCTAAATGTGACCAAATGTGTGAATTACCGATATCAGTGGTTCCTCTAAACTGTATTGTCCACAAGACAGAGGTCCACTTGGCTTCGTGTTGAGGGACTTGACCCTCCTTTTCTATTTCTACAGGTCATGTCCTGAAGAAGTGTCATCCGTTTTCACACATTTTGTTGAAGGGTTAAAGAAATTCAACATCACCAAGGTAAAGATGTCTTAATGCTTCGGCAGGAATCCTACTCCTCATTTCTCTCTGTTAAGTCATTTGTACTTTTTGGAAAGGGTTAATCAAATTTTACTTCCCTGTTTACCCCAATTGAAAGGTTTCGACCCCCACCAGTTGGTCGCTGCCACCCTTCTGTTTGAAGGGGACCGCGAGAGGGTCCTGCAGCACGAAAAACAAGTTTACGACATTGCAGCAAAATTTGGGTACGTCGCCTCTCGCCTCACCGCCCCCCCCCCTAATAGTAGAGAGTATGATTTATTTCAGCTTTTATTTATTTCATCACATTCCCAGTGGGTCAGAAGTTTACATACACTCAATTAGTATTTGGTAGCATTGCCTTTAAATTGTTTAACTTGGGTCTAACGTTTCAGGTAGCCTTCCACAAGCTTCCCACAATAAGTTGGGTGAATTTTGGCCCATTCCTTCTGACAGAGCTGGTGTAACTGAGTCAGGTTTGTAGGCCTCCTTGCTCGCACACGCTTTTTCAGTTCTGCCCACAAATTTTCTATAGGATTGAGGTCAGGGCTTTGTGATGGCCACCCCAGTACCTTGACTTTGTTGTCCTTAAGCCATTTTGCCAC